ACAGTTATTTAAATAAATGTTTTCAAAATATTATCGTTTTATAATAAATGTGTTTTGAATTAAATAAATAAATATATAAACACCTGTGAATCTGCAATATTTCCATTTAYATAATGCCTGATAAATAGGTATGCTAATATTTTATTTCAACATTAAACCAAACCTATCTTTAACATATTAATTTTATAACGAACAATAAATTTGAACTGGTTCATCAATCACTAGTTCTCTGAGTGCTATTCAGAATGTATTTACAAAGTAATATATTTATTTTAAACATTGAAATCATGTAAAACAAGTTTTGATTATGTTCTAAAACTATGTTGAGGTTTGTCACAAATTTATTTTTACTCATTGGATTTAAATTTGAAACTTTTAGTATGTACAATTTTTATCTTTTACGAGTTCTTCTGGTATTATTTGTACGATATGATGGTATAATATCACATCGGCATATCCTATTATAGGACGAAATATTACTAACAACAAAGAACGTTGCTTAGATAATCATCTATTGTATCAATTCTGAATTTTTGTATTGCAAGAAAAATCCACTAAATMATAATTTATTTAAAATAAAAAATGTTTATTTTATTTTATATTGTTTATTATAATTAAATTTTTTTTTTCAGTAGTAAAAGGCTTGCCGTGTACAGTATACAACAAGACGTACGACAACGGAGAAACGTTCAGGCTAGACTGCAGAACGCAGTGCACGTGTCAGGTAATTGAAAAATAATTGAAATTTAACTATTAAACTGCTACAATTCAATAGTTCACATTTTTTTTAACAGATCCACATTTATCGTTATTGCTTATTTTTATATTTAGTAAAGACAACAAAAGGTATTCAGTTCGTTACAAAACATTTACGTTTTACTTTAAGATAGTTAATAGTTTGTATTTTATAACTCATGTATAATTAAAAAAAAAATCATTATAATATACTTGCATACCAATGTTTTGTTTTTCCTTAATGGTGTTTTATTGTTAAAAAACAATACGTTTCCCGCGTATATTCCGTTTTCTGTTTTATATTGTTCTATACAATGATTTAAAATGTTCATGAAACTCCAGTATCGAATGATTTCTTAGGAAAAATATGATTGCTTTATTCTAAACGAGAAACTAACGAAACATACACATTTATAAATAAATAATTGTAACTACTAAATATCGTTCGACATAAAATTAAAAAAGGTTAAACATCAAAGGTTGTCCGACGGAAATTTTTGACTTCTCTCAATATGTACCTATATTGTATAACTAACGCACTAACTTAAGTATTCTCAACTCAAATGTGTACTTATCAAAACAATCAATTGGCTAAAATGTATTAAAGAGATGACGAATGTCTTCTTAGAAGCTAATAATTCCTATTTAAAATATTTAAAATCATAATAATAGATAATAAAAAAGCATCAAAAGTCCAAGTGAGCCAATGACGTATATTAGAATTTTTCATCAGAGATGGGGGCAAAGTACCTAAATATATTAAATTCTATAATAAGTTTTTTGGGGGATTTGAAAAGAGTGTGTTGCAAGACTACTTTTCAAATTTTAACATTTTTAATACCTGTTTAAATAGATTTTAAAAATGTATTAAAAAATTACTATACATCATATAATAATTATTTAAAATATTTATTTAAATAACATACATTTGTATTCAAATACATTTATTAATTTATATATAATGATTATATTAGCAATACAGAATAATATAGTCTATAGTAGTAAAATTCAGCCGGATATATCTTACCACTACACTTTTTTCATTTATTTATTATTTTATTATTGAAGCAGCCATACATAAAACACATAAAACATACATTTATTATGGTAGAAAAATCGCTTTTTCATTCTACAATAATTCAATAAACTAACATTGTTTTATAAGTTTTATTGAAGATCAATAATTGATATATTGGGCCACATGAAGTTCTCCCTCCCATAAATCCTCCACCGATTTGAKCTAGTATTGCGTGACCACAGTAAGTCCATTTACAAAAACAAATAAGATAATAACTATGCGAAAATAGTTTGAATAAACATATGGTATAGATACATATGATTTATGTGCGTTATACACATAAAGTATATTAAACTAAACAATGTCACTATAAATAAGAAATAATTAAATAAATCTAATATTAATAATCAAAATATTTTGAGTGAAATAATTGGTTTTCATATTAAAAGATTTTTTTATTTTTTATTTATTTTTTTTATTTTAATTTAATTTTTTTTATATATACAACGGCGATGTTTAAAAATAAATACAGTCACATTAAGAAGAATACATTTCATCGAAACCATTATTAAAGAAGGAACATAATTGATTTTGTATAGAATGTCTTAATTGAACAACAAATAAGTCTATGATATAATACAATTATATTTTGTATTTTAATATGATAAAAAAATTCAGTGATGGAAAACTGGCTGATAATTGATTAATATTATTACTCAATAATGGTATTACATTATAATAAATTACATAAACAGAAATATTATACAAGCTTAATGCAATTAATGTATGTTAATTTAACATTATTATTACCTACTTAAATACAAAATTTTAGATTTTATTCATATTTTATCTCATTTAACTAGTTAATATTATGTTGACAGAAAAACATAGATTCGAAATGTTAATCTAAAAGTTCTTGATTTTGTATATTACTGGTGAAAGTTTCAAAATAAATTGCAGATTTAAAATACCCTCTCCTAACACATATTTTCTCGGGTATTGAAACGTAATTGTTTCCAGACAATTTTCAAAACTACGAAAACCTGATTTAGAGGTAAGCCCCTTATATCGTTTACAGCTTGCCGAGAGCAATATTACCTAGCACGTTATTAGGTTTTCCATAGTGGCATCGAAGCCTCTGTTTGTATATAATTTAGCGGATGACATTTTTATGCCTAATAATATTTTGTTCAAGATAAAATGTATATATTTTATTGTGACTTAGGCGCTGGTCGTGATAATAATAACAATATATTCATCGTRTACATATCTGATTCGTTTTTATTTATGGGACCTAAATAGTTATTTGCTGTTGAATTCCTTTTCAAATCGAATTAAACAATGACATACTATCATAATCATAAAAACATTCTATTTTTATATTTGTCGTGACAATAATAGAACAACCTTATGGAAATTGTCTGTAATACATTTCGAATATTCCTGGGAAAGGGCCAACTATACAAAAGTTGCAGTTTCTACTTTCTACCATACCTAAATATTATAATCTATGACGTACAATATTTTATTGTTTTAGTGGAACAGAATGGTCATTTATATCAGTTGTATTAATTGTTTTTCTAGAACGGCACTTATGCCTGTGCGTCGTTGTGTCCACAAGAAAATATATCTCCTCAAGGGCTGTGCAGGCATCCCCGGTTGGTCGAAGTGCCCGGACAGTGCTGTAGAGAATGGATGTGTGACAACGTAAACAGTAAGTGACAATAAATAATAGTTATATACTGCAGTATACACATTCTAATGCGATTCCAAGCATATATTATTATGTTTACCAAGCAATATACACAAAAAAACATATTGTAATCGCGTCATAACCAAAAAAAAAACAATATTTTTAAACAAAAATGCATTAACCACGCAATTGACACAAAACTATCGATTAAAAATCGAMATTAATAACGCATTGTGCGGCAAGTTAGGGAATTGAGCATTTCAGTCGTGGGTCACTTTTATGGTATGAAACGCAGCTGCAAAGGGCCACAATTCGCCTAAAACTGAAATTGCCTTGTCTCACAAGCCACAGACATACCTACTATTTTTTTTGTTTGTTTGTTACACCTCTGCCACCTACGAAACGCCCTTATCGATATTACGATAGTACTCCATAATGAACTGTTCTTACCGTTCTCGATAACAATATCTATAGATGCGCACCAAACTGTTTCATAGAATAGCACGGAAGTAACCCACCTAATATCTACCAAAAAGTATTCATGTCTGGTTTGGACAGAAGTGGAGGTTTTGATTTTTCCACCCGCATCATAAGCGTTTATTTAAAAAGGTCATCGGCTTATCGCTACGAACGGCATCGAAAATTTGAATTTTTTAGCTGGCATAACAAAAAAATAAAAATATTTTTGAAATACGCTTCCGCCCGCTTTTGCCGTACGCATTYGAGCATGACGTGGTGACAGTGGTGACAAGGAATTGATAACGTATTTTTATCAGAAATTTACCGTGGAAATGGTGGGTTTCGATCATTGTTTCATATGGTCACAAATACACACATGCACCTTTGTACGAAAATTATATGTGACGTCACGTTCAATTTCAAAAGAGTCCTTCGAACCGGAATAGCATACGCGGGCGGCCGAAGGAGGCAAAGAGAGAGAGAGAGAGAGCTTTTAAAAATCACGCACGCGAGTAGAGCACTTAAAACATACGCCACAAATCTTTCGTTCTCGGTCGCTCTCGTCGCGACCGCGACACTCTGTCTCTCTCATCCGTCCACACGTTTCCAAGTGGCACACACGATTCGCGATCTCGTCCTCGGCGAAATGGAAATGCGCCCGCGTCTTCGTTTTATGGTAACGATTAATATTATTAGTTATTACTATGTTATTGCGTTACCCCTCTCTCCCCCCGCGCAACACCGTATCCGGCATAAGGCGTTCTGCCCTGAAGCTGCGGTATACATATGTATGTTATTCTTATTAAATATACTGCAATTATAACAAAATAAAATATTGTATTYCCATCGTAGCCGAACATATAACATATTTCCTCACAGAGTTTTCAAATTTCATGGTAACAATAATAGTCATACGTACATCATGTCTACAAATCACACATATTATGTACTCACATGGGTAAGTACTAAGTATACCAAAGCACGCCATGCGCGGACGAAATGAATTCATTCATTCCCTAAATATTTAATTTGATTACGATTTTGATTAAAAACTATTCCACCAACTCATATTTGACTAGCCGTCGATTTCAATTTACTATGTACTACTTTATTGATGACCAAGTCTATTGACAGTGCAATATTGAACATCACCGAACAAACTAACAAATCTTTTTGATTTCCGGGAAAAAAGGAAAAAGACTTCCTGGCAACGAAAATCAAGGTTTCCATTGTACTGTTAAAAATAAATACAACTACAACACGTGACGTAACTAATCGACTCACAGATTTGCTGTTATAACTTATGATTGATTATTCATTTTTTCCAAACAAATCGTGAACAATAGTGTAGACAGTAGACTGTCAAGTGAAAACCACTGTGTTAAAATTAAAAATATTAACTTTTATGTGTATGATGGTCTACGTTTGTCGAAAATAATGATCAAAAAAAAATGCGTCGTACAGCATATTGAAAATCTAAAATCATATTTTTGAAAATCTAACTTAAAATGTATCAAATATTATTAAACTTGAAAGCAAGTATAAAATGTTATGTTCAGCACTTCAAAAGGTCCAAAATTGTTTAAAATGTTAATAATTCTTTGAAAGAAGCTGCACAAAACTTTCATCATAAACTAAAATATACAAAATTGCCAAATTTTAAAATATACAGAAAATCATTTATACGATGACAAGACGAGTGGAAAGATATAATATTATGTACTGACATTTTAATATTAACAGTATAACAAAAATTCGAAGTTTCTGTTGCATATAACAATGATTAAAGATATTTTCCATATATAAATTAAAATAAACATATCATTTTTAATATTCGATAAAATAATATGGTAAAAATAAAGAAAAATTTAGAGCAAAGAGCAAATATTTATTTTATTATTTCCCATTAAATTATATTTTTAAGTGTGCAAATAATACATTTCTACTTGAACTTCAAACATGCATACCTACTATTGTAAATTTGTAACTACGTATAATATTATTCTAAGTAACAAACTCAGGCATTTCTAATGTGAAACAACCACTCAATATTCTTTATTTTTACCTCCACATTTTGAATTCACTCATTTACTTATTGACAATAATTGTACTTACTCGTAAAGATTGTACATTTTTATTAAACAAACAAATCTCAAGAAATAATAAAAAGTATAAATATAAATGAGTAACAAACTTTAAATAATGGTTGGTTTTTATTTTTTTTTTTTTAACTACAAATTTTTAACGAATATTATTTCTAAATTTAAAAAAAAAACTTAGCCTAACCTAACCTTCAAATAATGATAGAATTTAAATAGAATAATTCCGTATGATTTTATAATATTATGTTCGCTATAGTGGAACGAATTAACGAATTAATATATATGATAAATCAAGTTTTCAAAGGAATTTCACAATATACATATATATTAAAATGTATTTGCTCATTATATTTACACTAGAATTTTCGTATATGTTGCTTCAGTTCAATTACGCACATTTTATTTGTTCTATGCTTTTCCATTGCTAAAGCGGTAATTAAACATATGTATATGAGCATCATACACCGACTGAAGTCAGGTTAGATCGTATACACACACGCTTATAGCGCCCGGACTAACGTGCTGGAAACGTGACGGGATTAAAACATAATGTAGGTTCCGCATGCAAAAGATCTGAAGGATTTGAATCATTTAGTGACACCAGAAAAATAACTCGAAATAGTGTTGCAAAATATACACATTTCAAATTAACGTTTCTTTACCTAGAATTTCTATTTTCCTCCCTTTCATTCTTAATACTAGCAGCACACATATTGTTTATTTTACGCCTCTTTAATAATTCCTAAGCCCCTTTCTTCGTCTCAKGTCTAGATGGACCGGAAAAAGTAATGGCCAACGATGAATAATTTATAGCTTAACCGTGTATTTGATGAATTTTTAAGGTTCTTGTCACTTCGGAACACACTATGCTCGAGACCGAGATTGAATTCAATCGACCGGATAACCCTCGAGCATGCCGAACATGAAATTGATTGATAAACCATCTCGGTCACGACAAATTTTCAACAGTTGATGAGATTAAAATGCCCGCAATAAATCGCTGAGTTTTACTTAAAGACAAAATAATAGAAATAATAGATAATTAATTATATACCTACGATGTATTAAAAACGAATCCTATAGAAACACGTATTAGCCAAATAGGGATTTAGAAAAATAAAGAAACACCACCGATTGACAAGGTACAAAATTAATCAATTAAATTGCACATCTATAATCACACGAATATTGTAAGTATAACTAGGTATACAAATTATTTCATGAGTCATAAAAAATGATAAATAACTCAAGATGTCTTATCACGTTTTCGATATTGTATTAGGTTTATGGAATACTATATTAATTAAAAATATATAATATAATATGTGTCTAAATAATTATTTATATATGTTTCTTTTTTTAGTGGAAAGGCCGCCAAACTGTGAAGCATTGGTCACACCATGGGCAGAATGTTCATCCCAGTGTGGATTAGGTCTTTCTAGGCGCGTGTCTAATGCAAATGAAGCGTGTAAGCCTAATAACGAAACCAGACTTTGCCAAATAAGGCCGTGTCACTCACCACCACTGGTGAATGCTAAATATGCAAGACACCATCACATTAGAGTAAGCATAATATTATACTATTTTACTGTCTTGGTAACACAATATTATAATATAAACATTTATAATGTCAAATTAATAGCATTTCTGAACAAAATCAAAAATAATTTAATACATTTTCATTTGAACAGAAAAAATAAATAAAAAATKAAAGTTAGCAATAGCCAACTCAATTAATATATTACAAGTAACCAAACTCATACACAAATATAGTTTTAGCACCCAAACCATAGCAGGCCAATCCTATACTTAACAGCTACCACTATATATATAATATTATATATCCTAGAATTAATTAATTATATGCTATACTATTCAAATATTAAACATTTCGATCAATTAATAAAAWTAATATTATAATTAGTTCTGTCCTTTRACAATATAATTTTACCTATAAAAAGATTAAAATAAATGTATATGATATGTACTAAGGTAATTGTGGTTGTGTAATATTTATAGTGCATAGAGAAGTACAAAAACAATAAAAATAAATGGAAAAAATCATTAATTTCTTAGCACTTTAAATGGCACAAATAATTTTTGTGTATTGACATTTTATGATTAAATTAAAATACGTTAAGTTTTTAAAAATATAACTTACACTAGTACGAATTTTCTCGGTATAATTTTATAATTCAGATTAAAAACAAGAACTTTTAAGATAATCTAAAAACAACATTCAGCAGTATTGACGCATTTATAAACTCTTTAACATAAATACATAATATACCTACTTAATAAAATTTCTAGACGTTTAAAATTATGGTTCCGCTGTAAAAATGATGAAAATCCTTCCGTATATTATAAACCGTTTATAAAAAAAACATCAAAGTTAAAATATTTGTAATTTTTATAAATGACTTGGAACACTTAAACATCTCCGAAGCAATTAAATGTAATCATAAATCAAAACCCGATTAAAATACTACATATTTTGAATTTATGATAATTTTCGAGAATATATAATTATCACAGAAACAATAGGTACTCCGACTTATGGTTTGTATGAAATAAAATATATATATTTGAATAAACATATTATACTACAATTARTACAATTTTAAGTCATTTCACTGCCATAATAATACACTATAATCAATTTATATTATTCTATTTCAATCATTTATAATTATTTTGACTGCAAAATTGTAAGAGGAAAAAAATTTAAACCGTCACTAAAATCAGTATCAAAAGACTATAGTGAATAACATTTTGAATTTTAATCCAAATTGAATTATAAAATATTGTAGACCATATAATATATTTGTCCGTCCTAACATCAGACCATCGCGATGCATCGGTTAAAATAAAAGTATCGCAAATCGTACAATTACAATTGATACTATTGCAGTTCTATTGTATTCTATAGAATATTTTGGTCTACACTAACTCACACGTAGTCACTTTTCATTTAAAACTTTAAAAGCCTACAGAAGTATAGGCTTTTTAATTTTTTAAAAGCTCTGGCACCAACACGGCAACTCGTTTAAATTTTATATTTATCCCGTCCGATATTCAAGTGATTTTTTTCGTAGTTAACTTAAAGCGATGTGTACAAATTATAAAATTCAATTAAAATTCCAGAATTAATATCAATTATTTTATTATTTTACGTACCTGGTACCTATACGTGTTATAACTTATATGCAATAGCGTTCTAATATAATATAAACTATAAACATACAATAACCATTCAAATAAAACATATAGGTATAATACAATATTTWATTATAATTTATTTTTTTATGTACTTTCTTCAAGTTATTTTAAATGACTATTGTTTTAATGACCAAATAACGTTGAACCGACTAAAACAGTTTTTTTCTGGTTTTATTACTAACTTGTACGTGTTTGATAAAAACCCCAACATCATAACGTGAAACTCGATTAGTGGTAAAAATAATAATAATAAAAATACGCTATATCGTTCAATATCCATATACGGCAAAGGTATGCGAGTTGTAAAAACCGAATGGTTAAATGGAATAAAATAAGAACGTTCTGCGTAGATTTAAAACCAACGAGACGGAGGAGTACGTGCACTGCCACCTTGATAGTAATGCGCCCGACCAACCACCGTTATCCCATCATCGTCCTGAATCCTGATAAATAATTTTTTTTTCTTTTTTTTTTAATGCGAATTCCATTATTCATGTTCAGAACCCTCATGCATTGAAGGATAGGAAATAATACAATTTTTCACGACCGAAACATCTGGTCGAATGCTGATGCGGGCGTTGTTGAGAGGAGGGGCAAATTTGAATGCCTTACTACTCTGCACGTCACGTCTACAGTATTTGTCGTCGCAGGTCGTGTTTACCTTTTATATTTTAACCTCACCCCGCCCCGTTCCCGTGGACAAGTTGCTTCTGGCAGAGCAGACTAATGGGCGTACCAAAGGGAACAGTGATAGAGAAGGGGAAAGACAATGAATCAAAAATATTCCTGTTCGAGTCCGAAAAGTCGGTCGACAACTTTTACGCCTCGGATTCAATCTGAATAGAAATTAGTTTGTTCTTTTATTTCCTATGCTTACATATATAACATACATTATATTATACTCTTTTGGAAATCACAAAAGTTACTTACAGCATTAGCGACAAAACTTTTACCGATGACGTTCGTCGGGGATATATTTATGTTCGGCTTAAAGCCTGGGTATAATAATAATTTATTGAAATATTTTATTTTCGCCAAACACAAATACACGTTTCACGCTATTGTAAATGAGAATCTGTTCTATTTTAAATCCACATAAGATTTAAGAAAATAAAAAATATGATCCATGTTTACTTTAATATTCTCTTCGTACACGGAGTATAAACGACGATGCGCACACGAATGAATGTAACTAATTAAAAATAAAACTACCGTGGTCAATGAAGGGTAAATTTACATAATAATAATTTGAATGAGTTTTATGTCCATTATTTGAAATTTGAAAAATGTACAATGAAAAAAAACTAAAACACAGACGTAATTATAATAACAGTCAAACAATATTTAAATTGTTTATGTTTTTAGGTCATTTTATTATCCACAGCGTGTTTTTTTTTTTACGAAACTATCATTTCAATGTTTATATTTTATCACATTTCATATTTTCATMACTGCTCACAATAACCGATGTAAAAAAATCTTATCAAACTCAACTCCTTTCCCAAGTGGATAAGTATTTCGAATAAAAGACTCAAAAGTACCCACGTCATATTGACGACGTTGTCTAAGTCAAAGACCGCACGACATACGAGAAAATGTCAATTCTACCGACCAACCTATTTGGTYCCTGTCACAGGTTTTATATAAGTGCCTACTGGCTACTATCCCAAGCGTAACAGTACTTTAATAACGGTCTCTTTATATACACACGTTGTTTCTTTGACCGCAAATTACTTGCAGTCACCTTTGTAATAGGTACTACCTACCTAGTACCGATATGTATAACGACGTACGCGTTCCGTTTAATATCTCCTATCGCTTACAACTAAATTGTCTAGTTTKAATATACAATACACTCTTCAGTCTTCTCGTTAGATGTTTGTATTACGTCCATTTAGAAATTACCTTTGTCGAAGTCACAAACGACGACAACGAGCAACGGTTCGCACACAGCTAAATCAATTATTATAACGTTTATTTTTATAATATTTTCTGCAATGCGTCTTTACTTTTCTTTTTCCCATCATCGCCATCGTCATCCCCTCTCGAGGCGAAAAGAACCAAACCGTGTTTAATATTATATTGATTATTTTTACCAGTCGACAACAATAATAATAATATATATGAATATTGTCACGACTTACCAAGTTAAAGTACTACAGTATGACGTGATAGGTCGTATTATAGGCGTGTATTATTAGTTCGTCGTCAAAGTAATTATTTTAACAACACTATAAACAGTTTTTAATTGCATTTTACAAAACACGTCTACACAAATTAAATTGTCCCAACGTTTATACAGATAAATTGTATTAGGCACGCCAGTATTATAATACGATTTACTACGGTAATTGCCCGTGAAATTCATTACCACAAAAAATAATTTATACGTAGCATCAATTTTGCCGAAATAAATTTCATGTAGGTAGAGAATAAAAAATAAGCCCAATCAATTATGTGTGATTGACATTCAAATGTGTATTTCAATTATTCTCGGACCCGTTTAATTTGTGTCCGAATGGAGAAATCGTACAATAATAAACTTGAGTGCAAACAAAATGCAATATTACCATAGTAACTTATCTAATTTTTATTTTATCGAAATTTTTTAGTGTATTTATTGTATATCACAACATGATATTATGTGATGTATTATAAGCATTCTATAACAGCTTAAAATATAACTTAATGAGTGTGAACACATTGTTAAGTTTTAAAAACGGTGTTAGTGATATAAATATAAACGATGAGACCATTTTACGCGATTTTTGCACTTCGGTAATAAAATGATTATGACATGGTATTCATAATAGGCATTTTAGGGTCACATGAATAAGTGACATTCCTACATAAGAACTAAATGTACATGGTATTCGAAGTTACAAGTGCTATTATTATTAAATTATTCTGTTGCCTGTTAAGTTTATATTATTGTTGTAATAACTAAGAAATATATAAATTGACATATTATGTTTTGTTGTCAATATTGTATAGGTATATTAAGACAAATTTACAATYATTGCGTCCTTATACTGTCAGTGGTAATRATACATTAATAAATTGCATGTAATTTCTTTGTTGAATTTGACTCTTCAATCACACTTGTATACTATTTATTATATCATATGACTACTAGATATGTAATAATATTAATGATAATTATAAGTTGTAAATTCACCATAAACACAAAAATATATCGAACATTATTTTGCTCCAACCGTTGAATAATGGTTCGAAGAGTTCCTATCTCTAATATTAGTAATATTATATTGTTTTAATTATTGTTGCTGCAGTTATAAACAATTTGGGCCGTTGTGTCTTTAAAACGGCATTCGGGTCCAGTGGGTCCACCAGTAGCGTATCTAGGGATACTCAAAATTTTATACCTTGTTATTTTAAGCACTTATTTTGCAGTTATTTAAAAAAAAAAAAAAGGTTGGTTTATTTTTGTGTAATAATATTATGTAACTGATCATCCTCCACCTCGAAGAAAAAAAAAACGTGGACTGGGATCCACCACGTTTCGATTTCAAATCTTATAATATATTTTTTCCACCTGTCTGATTCTGCAGAAGGGACACGAGTGCAAGGCGACGATAAAGTCGACGACACCGGTCCGGCTGAAGTTCGGCGACTGCCGGAGCCGGAAGACGTTCCACCCGAAGCGGTGTGGCGGAGCGTGCCCGTCCACGAGCGGCGGTGGTGGCAACAGTGGCGGCGGCGGCATCGTTTGTGCCCCCGAGCTCAGCACCACGGTCAAGGTGGAGTTTCTGTGCCGGAGCCCGGTGGAGGGCCACGACAGGCTGGACGGCGCTGTGCCGGGTGACGACCTCTGGGAACCCGTTCACAGGCCCTTCTCGGCCACGGCCGACGATTACGTACACAGCGTGTACGTAGACATCGAGTGGATCGTAAAGTGCACGTGCCGACGCCACGCTGACTGACGACGGCGGCGGCCGTGAACCGCTGGGCGTCTGAAGCCGACGCCGATGCACCCGCAGCAACCAGCCGCCCGCGACTTGGCCGAACTGTGAAACGTTTGTTATTTATTATTATTTTACATATTTCAATATTCGCGACACACCACATGCGCGTGCGTGTACACACACACACACACACAAACTATACATGACGACCGAGACAGGAGACGACAGCGACCGTGACGAGATTTTTGACAGTTTTTGTTTACGGTTTTGAGATTGAAATTTGTTATTTTTGTTAGAGCTATAATTACTATTATTATTATTATTATTATTATTACGGCGTTTCTCAACCTTTTCGTGGCCACCAGGATGTTTTATTAAAAGTTAATTTAAACGGAGATCATTGCGCCCACCAAAATATAATATATAATAGCTATCTCTACCAATTTCAATACTTAAAAGTTCAGTGGTTTTTTTTTTTTTTTTAATTAACATCCTTGATGTCAGTCTGTAAGTATAGTATAGCGCGTGTCAATTCTAAAATTATTTATTTTGAATTACACTTTATATATATATAATATATATATATATAAAAGTTTCATAATAAATACGATCGTATATAGTCACCTGGATCCACACAACTATAAATTTGTGATCAAAACCTGGTCATATTTTCCAAAATTTGGTCGAATTTTGAGAAACGCCTCATATTCAGGTAGATCAATTTAAGTACCCAATGAGGTGTACATCGTCAAAAATCTGAGTTTTGGTTTGTATAGATATTTTTTTCGCGTATACTTACCTATATTACCTATATTATATAACGATTCGCCCGCAAAGAGTACGATGACCTCACGTCCATATAAAATGTAGTTATATAAAACCAAAACATTTCATTTAGACTCTACAGTTTAGAAACATAAATTCCATTCGCTGAGGTGAAAATTTTTCAAAAATAAGCCTATAAATCCCATCGTAGTATCGCTTTTGAATACAATTTATTTGATAAAAATATTCAATTACGTGTTTTTGAAAAATAAAATACGCTCCCAAGAGGACCAACTGTATAACATTATACTAATAATAATTCATCTCAAAAGCGCTAAAAAAACAATCACTAATAATAATTGCCCGTTAAGAACCATTGCAGTTATACACAATGTAACTATATATCATTAACTAMATTTGTACATAACGCACACTAAAATCAGAAGTATTTTACAAGTAGTTGTTAATCATTTACTCCACTTTCATACTCTGTTTTCAAAAATAATGAGATTCGTTGTATGCATAATAATTACGTATAATACGTTGTAGGCATAATATTATTAATTATTATACGCATTGTACAGACACAAATAATAATAATAAAGAAAAATGTAACACAATGATGTTACAATATTAAAATGTTATAATATTATATTATGTTAATAATTATATTATATAATATTTATAATATAAATAAATATATATGTGAGTACTGTGTATATATATTAACAAGGGTATAACTTGGATATTTTTTTTTGCCAAAATTAATATATTATATGCTTGTAAAAAAAAAAACATTGTTTAAAAATGTACCGTTTTGAATATTTGTACTAGATTAATATTATATGTGAAAAATAATGAACAATATCATCATAATAATGAACTATTATAATTATTATTTTTATTTTGTTGTTGTTGTTGTTGTAAGTTAGATTTATGAAATCGTTTTATCCTTACAAGCTTTGACCACGTTGCACCGTTTTATATACTCACCACACGTACCTRCATTATACATGTATAACGATAATATCCACATATTTGATTTTATATAATATCTCTGTATATAGGTAGGAATCTACCATCATTTCATATCACAAGTTTAGGATCTCCATATGCAATAAAGAGGATTAAATCGTTGGCTTTAAACCCAAAAAAATTACAATATAATTAGAAGACACTGTTCACAATCGATTCATAATAACATCATGAACGTATAATAGTACTAATACATTTCCCTGCAGTTTCCGGTTTCGTCTGTTTCGTCATGTTCAGTATCTATTACATGCAACTGACAAACCTTTGCAGACGACCGATAATTTTTTGGTTTTTCGCCGGAACATTGTTATTGCGATACAATTATCAGCACAATGTGTTGCTATTATTGTACGTAGACAATTTTTACAGTTGTTAACGAACAATATTGAACGATTAACTCAAATTCCTACGGCATTATATTATTCTACACTTGATATACCTACGCCAGCAATAGGTATTAGCGATTGAATTATACCACCGGAGGCCAACACTAAGGTATTATTTATACAGTGCCTTAATGGAATATTTTTATTCTGCCCTCACCTTTAGGTCCTTCAATATTAACATATCCACACTTTGTTACCTAAAATATACTAAAAAATAATATTAACATTATAAATTGGTTTTGTTAATTTAATAAGAATATTATAGAAGGGTTATAAAATTGAAGAAAAAAAATGTATAAATGTTTTTATTTATATTAACCGACAGTCAGATTATTATTTATAATATTATAGATTATAAGAAATTATGAACATTTTAAAAATTTCACATAATTATATTAACTAAGTATTAATAAGTACTTTAAATATCTATTTGTCATCACGAATACGAAAAGGCAAAAAAAAAAAATGTATAATTATATTTTGTTAACGTATAAGATATATCGCAATTTGTAATATTTAATCGAATTCAATAAAAAGTTATTATTTGTAATGTTGAATATTTTTTATTCCACGAACTCATAAAATAAATGTATCCTGTCACTTAAAGTTATCATAATATTAAAGATACATTTTGATTTCGAATTATTATTTATCATCAGTAACTGATRATAAAAGTCATAATTATATGACCGTAATGCACAAACTGACAAACTACAGACTGTGTAACAATAATTCATGCTTCAGACTTGTAGAATATAATACATATAAATGTATAGTGTTTAGTGATAAAATAGTTAGTGAAGTAAACAAAAAATAATTAGATATGTTAAAACCTGCAAAATATCATGAAAATCTATTTTTATTTTTTTTTTAAAGTATATTTACCTACATATAAATATATCGCATCGATGTGATAACTTATAATTTATTATATAAGTGTTACGTTACCTATAAGATATGTACGAGATATCACGCGATTATGACTATAAAATAAGTATTAGCTATAGACTAAAACTAATAAGCCATTAATATAAAAAGCATGCAGAGGTCAACAATAGGAACGTGGTGAATAAGATTAATTAAACTATAAAAGTGATTTCACACGTATATTCTCAGAGATGACTGATGTAGACCCATGTGAAAGGATACGAAACGGTCAGCATGTTAAGTTGAATCACAAGACCGAATTTCGACGTGTTACAGGAAAGCCACCACCAAAACAACCATCTCTTCTAAGGACCGAATCATATACAAGAGAGACGGGGACAAGAGCTCGTCAGACGGTTCTTAAATGCGAGCTAGACAGTTAGGCAGATAAGACTAAACAAGACATTTAGAGGCAGGTCGTAACACCACTCACAGTCTTAGCAAATTACATCTCAGAGTCAGGTCGTAACACCGATCACCATTCACCTCATTATTTAACTAATATTGTATTTTTATATTAAGTAAAATAAACAACATTATAACTAAATACTTACATCAAGTGTTCATTTCTACGTTTATATATGAATCGGCGTCAGTTGGGACGCAACATAAGTTATATAACATAATATTATAATATACAGAAACTAGTTGGTACTTGTTTACCTACCTACGTATTTATAATATAAATTTATATTATTTATATTATAAATTATTATTTATATTATGTATATTATATTCTTACTAACTTAAGAAAGAAAATAAATTGTACAACTTTCTGTTGGAAAAATGAATCTATGTATGATTAGTAGTATACATCGTTTTCATTTTATTAAACAAAGTTTTTTTTCATCTAAAATTTAAATGTCAAAGTTTTCGCTCAATCTTCATTAATGATGAACACATGAACCCTATTATAGATTAGCATAATATGCATTATTCAATATGCATATTATGTTCTAAAAATATTAGTTTACATAGTAATTGTAGGTACACAACAAATACCATAAATATTTAGAATTCCTAGGTATATCATGTTTATTCTCTCAAAGTCAGAATTTATTATTATCACAATGATTTACGTTACAGACGTTATTATGTATGTTTAAAGTTCAATCTATAATAATTTTGTGTCTACGATCAATACAAAGGAATCTGTATGCATACAGAGCGTGAACGTGTCTTAACTTGTATTATATATTATACAAAATATAAGTGGCTATCTCTTAGTTAGGTACACTAACTGCCTAGTATATAGATACTTAGTAMAAAGGGGTTTTTCAATAATATTATAGAAAGACCTATTCATCTGAACAGTTGAAGGTTATGGTGGGATCAATCCTCCCCCCTCCCCCACCGAAATACGTTACTGTTTCAGCATATTAATCTTTAAAACTGTATACCTACTTAAAAACATTATTTTACGTTAGATATGATTAAAAACGGCTCTGATTTTAACTACTTACTTATAGGTACCTTTTTGAAACGGTAAAAGCTATTTGATTGATAATCGTCTATTATACAGTACCAGTATAGGTACATAATATGGTATATAAGTATTTTCCTACAATAATTATAATAGGTAGGTACTTATATTGTACTGAATGGTATAATACTGTGTCTAATTGGCAACTCATTTAGGTACCTAATAATATTTAATTGATTAAGATGTTCTATTTACAGAGCAAATTTTGCATAACAAAAGTATTAATGATTTGATTTATATTTGTATTTTTTTTWAAATAAATGTTTGATCCTTTGACCCAGTAATTATCAATGCATAATGTTATATCGTCTGTCCGGTACATGTTATTATCATCAATAAACTCAAAACTAAAGGAGAGATTACCGAACACTACTTTGAGCAAAGTTATATCATTATACCATGGTATTCACTATAATATGCCCTTATATTATGATAAGCATATAAATTCGTTATGATTTTATATCATGCACCTTTGACATGTTGTACCGCCTCATATAAAGCRCATATTGTTATTTTAGTMAAAAAATAWATAATAAAACGATAATAATAAAAGTAAAATTAATAATATACGGTTTTTAATCTTTTATCATTTTAAAATCCTCAAAACATTTTTGTTGTATTTATACTTCATGTAGCTTCTTCAATATTGTTTATTGTCCATGATTTRTACGTTTAAATCAAATATTTCTATTAATTGTTATGTWATTATCGACGCCCAAATGGCCAAAAGCGCACTACAGAAATATATTCTAACACGACACATAATTAATAATCATATTATATAAAAATCAATAATATTTAGTGATATACCTATTAATTTAATTTTGAATAATATACAAGGATAATTGTCTTCAGTTTTATACCTGTTTTGAACAATTATAACTTAAAAAAATTTCATTTAATTGTATTACATTGAAAACAGTATTTTCAAATTTCAAACAGGTATCATTACAGTTTTTAATGATTTATTACTTTTTGAACAACAATATGCATTTTTTATTTTATATTATGTTCCTAAGTAGGATACTTTTTGGATACTTAATTCCAATATATAAAAATCAAATTTCAATCCAGTACTTAGTTACCTATTAGAGAACGTGATACATGATACCCTAATGTGTTATCTTCACGACTCCATCTAACAAGTAATAACATAGCAATTTTTACGATCAACAGATCACGTTAAAATTTAGAGTGAATTGGCCTTTTATAAATTTTAAAAGTAAAACTATTACCTACAACCTAGTAATGTCAAAAGCTTTTTATTATATTTTTCATTTTAAGGCGAGTTATGTGTATTTTACAATTTGTACATCTGAAAATACTCATAACTACCTTTAATATTTAAATATTATTAAAAAGCCTTTGATATTAACTAGGTAAAAATATTGCATTTAAATTTTATAAGAAGTCAATTCACTCTAAATTTTAAACTAACAGAKCTAAAAGTGATTTGAGCGTA